TTTGGTCATGGATTTCATACACTCTCTGGAATAAAACATCTAAAAGCCCAAATCTTCTCATATGGGCGATCCTTGGACAAAATCTTATCAAATGGGGACCCGTGGTCTAATTTGTGTCAGGTTAGGGATCATTGACTTGAAAAAGTTTGAGAACCAGTGAGCTATACCATGTGTCACTACATGTTTGTATTACATTGTGGATCATTTTGGACCAGGTCCAAGCATAGAAGGGACTCTGAGAGAAGGCCAGAGCACCTGCGAGACCGAATGGATACAGCAGAGGACGGCAAGGATCAGGTCAGACACAAGAGTGAGCACTGGAGGAAAAGAGATGGACCAGAGGTGCGCTGCTGCTTCTTGTGTGGATCAAGTGCCCACATCAAGAGGGACTGTCAGCTGTACAGAAGCCCTGCAGGTTCACACAAAGTTTCTTTTTATAAAATATTTCTCAGTTGCGTTGTGGAACCTCTTCCAAAAGAGATTTCTTAACTCTGAAGTAGAACTGTGTTAGTCTCTTCTGCATTCTGTTGCATTAAAAATATAGAGCACAAGAAGTTATTTTACCTTCATGTTATAATAAAAACGGAGGGGAGACATCAGTTGCTTCTGTTTTAACCTCTATTTTCATTTGGAAGGTAATGTGAAGATGGAAAGCTTTTCTTCTCCCTCTTCAGCCCACTTGAGGAATCTGAGAGAAAAGGAGAGACAGGTATGATTTGTTTTGTGCCAGTCAATGAAAACGATTCTTTTAAGATGTGTTTTACTGATACTGTGACACTACTACATCTGTTTGTCAGAGTTCGCCCATACAAGAGGAGAAGAAGAGAAAGCAACAAAATGTGATCTTAAGTCCACAAGCAGGTATTTAAATTACTGTACTTATGCTTAAATCCATAAAGATTTAGAGCCTAATTGTCATAGTATTGTTAACTCAACAGTTAATTTTAAAATGTCTTGTTTTAAGTAATTTTAACTTAGGGCTGGACGATATGGCTGAAAATATTATCACGATAAAGTTTCATATCTTTTGATATCGATAATGATCACGATAAGTATCGTTATTTCTTGCGAGTATAACGGCTGATTTTTGCTCCTGAGTTGTAAAGTTGAAACCTGTTGGTTAATTGTGGTTTTAACTCTTCTTTATGGTGAAAACTTGATGCTAAACTGTGGATCATTTCCCAAATCTAAGGTAGAACATTCAAAACAATTATGACAAAATCTTGGTCAACAAATATGCACAGTTAAAAATAAGTAAAAGGTTTTTTCTGTCCTTTCCTTCAAGTGAATAAAGTCAAATATTTATTGAAAATGTTGAAATTATATTGCGACAATTGTTGTTGGTTTTTATTGTCCAGCCCTATTTCAACTTCTGCTGGAATGTATGATCCACCTCACCTATCATCATCATTAAACAATATTTCTTCCTCTTAAAGAGGCAGCTTTCCCTTCAGCATATATTGTCTGCCCATGTTTCAATTATCTTTCCCTGATTGCCTAACCCCAATAACTTGTTTGAACCAAAATGTTTATAACTTATGGAGACAAGGGGCTCTGTGAATTTTCTACAAAGGAATTGGTCTCAGTAAAACCAGATGACAGTATTCTTTTGTATGTTGGGTCAACTATCTCGTTTTAGGGCTGGAGAGGAGAGTGAATGAGGGCAAGAAATGTTTGCAGCAGGTTCAGGTTCATCCATCTTTCTCTGGACTCTGGACCACACGCTTACTGATGTTCTGGCTAAAGTTTAGCATTTTGCTTCTGTTTTGTCTTTTGTTTTTTTATGCAGTCCAAAAACACATTCTGTGAGTGATCATACCTGTAACCTGAAATGAGTTTGTGCAAATAAAGCGGCAAATAAAGCAAATACAGCGGTCAGTTTATCAGGATGAGGCAGTCTGCCCTGTTTTAGATAGTTTCTACTTTAAAGTGTACTCGTGCAGGCTAAAATATGTTTTGAAATAAATGTTGACCCTTGCATTCTGCTTTTTTCAGGCAGTTTAGCCTCCCGAAATTTGGGTCGCTCTGGTCACAGGAGGAGCCCAGTGGAATAAGCAGCAGTTGTGGCTACGCGAACCATGAAGTTCTACCCTCGTCCAGGCAGACAGCAACCCAAATCCAGAGTTCCTTAAATCTGAATGGGACTTTTGGGCTAATGGGAGCCCGTTAAAGCCAAAGCCAGGACGTCTTGACTTGAAGCCAAATAGGGCCTTTTTATGCGTATTTTTTGTTTTGGTTTTTTTCCCCAAAAGCTCTCCTCCTCAGAGGAGAGCTTTTTTAAAAAAAAAAAAAAAAAAACTTTCATTTTAACAAGACAAGCCATTGTGCATGCACCCATGTCATTGTTTACCTACACTGCCGGTCAAGTTGTTTTAAATTCACTACATTACAAGCAATACCATTGCAGATTCAGTGTTCAAACAGTAAATAGGTTAGATCGTGATCGTCATAAAGCAATTTTTTCATATAAAATACTTGTATAGGCTCAACTGTCGTTAGTCAGGTAACACCTACTTACTGATTTGAGGTCTGTTATAGCCATCAAGGCCATTTCATCTTAAACCAAAAAATCACTTATCAGTTAACTTATTCCTTATTTATAAGTATGTTTTTATGATGGATTTACAACTGTTTGAGATTTTACCCCCCAAAAATTACAATGCAAGTTGTTCTAAAACTTTTGAATGGCAAATAGAATTTCTTTTTAAATCCTGTTTAATTTGTCCTCTGCACTGACGTCCGTCTGTCCTTTAGCCTTCAGAGCAGCTCTACCTACAGTATGTATGTCTCTGTATTGGAGAAACCGCGGTGTAGATATATTTTCAGGATCATTTTGTTTTTTGAGACTGCTGATCCACCCCTGTTTCATAGACTCGTATTTCCCCTCAACAGCCTTTTGAACGGTAGGACAGAAACTGAAATTAAATCTGCTAACCCTGGCCCATGTCGTCACATAGGAGGTGTCGTAACTATAGTGCAAGAACATATATAGTTGAGAAAATTTAATGAAAGGTTTTATGCTTGCACTCAGTGGTCAGGTTTTGAGAAACCAGTCAACTGGTCCAGCTGATGGCATACACTGCTGAAAACTCTGACTTAGTCCTAAACTAGAGGTAATCTCAGTTCAGTGGAAAGATAAATGTATTTAATTGCCACAAAGGCTTCATTTTGTTGTAATGGTGCCACAGATTGGTAGCTGCACTGTGAGGGTCCACGCCCTTGAATTATGTTGCTGCTAGTTGATGTCTGAAAGACCTGCTTATCATTCAACTTCAGATATGGACTGTCTTGCTTTGTTGTCCTAATATAGCTGAATTTTATAATAGTTTGTGGTATTGTAATCAAATTTCTCATTTTAAAGTAGCTTTGTTTTAATGCCAGCCTTATTGCGTTTCTTTTGTTGGAATCAAATGGGAGTTTTAGTTAAGGAACGCTGATCCTGCCAGGAAAGGTTGTGTTGCAGTCTGTTTTGTGTCTCAAAGAATTCATTAAACAGAAATCAAACACCGGTGTGGAAAAATTCTTTGAAATCTATGCATTGTTTTGAAGGGGAGGGTGGGGGGGTAGGTGTAGGTTATCGGTCATCCAAAGTGAGTTTAAAATCAAGGGTCACTGGACTTGGTTAAAGAGATTTAAAGACGTTTCGTCTCTCACCCAAGAGACTTCTTTAGTTCTGGCTGACTGGTAGGGAAACTCAGCTATTTAACTTCTGTGGTTATCAAGATGATCGTCTTAGTTCGTTAGTGCTCCTGGTTGTAACTGCAGTCGTTGTGGTCGTTGGAGACACCCGAGGCCAAGTCTAAACGACCATCGTTCACCTGAGGCCAAAAGTTCAGTTATCCTATCACCTAACACTCAAGCTGCTTTGATGTGCGGTCGGGTCCTACAATAAAACTGACAAAGGTGAAGTTATGGATGGGTGGTTATCTACTTTGAACGTTTTCCCGGTTTGTCTTTGCTTGATACATTTTAGCCAATGGTGAATATAACAACTGTAGCCTACTATTAGTGTACAATAAACTGCCCTCGCCTATGATAGTCACACGTTTTGTTTTGTTCTTAAACTCAGTAAAGTTTAATTTGGTACAATCCAGCAGTAGTACAGTTAGTCCACCCACATCAGTGGATGTGTTTAAACTCTATGTAAGACTACCTGTAAGCCACACACAAAACGTCACAGTAGAGGATGAAAGTTCGTTATTGATCTTGGAAACAGTGATTCAATCACGATGCTGAAGTAAACTTCAGATTCTGCAGTTAAGAAACGTAAGGAAAACTTAACTTACATTGCTGAACTTCGTCTAAAACCCACCTTCAGATTTGTAAAACCTTTATTATATTTGTAAAAAATATAAATGTATGTTTTTCTAGTTGTTTTTACACATGGACCTGGATTTGTAAAGCTTTGGCCTCTCTGGGACAAACTTGTCCAGGTTTGACAGCTCTAGGCATAGTGGCTTTTGATAGGAACCTGTTCCAATGTGGTCTACATGTGAGGAAAAACGTAAAAGTCACCCTTATATTAATTTCACAAATCTGAAACTGTGTTTTAAAGAAACTTTAGTCCCTCTGGTAAAATCTAGTCTAGATTTGACCACATGTAAAAATACATTATCGTCCTTTTTCCACAACAGTAAGTAGGTGCAAAAAAACGTCGTATCATAAGTTCCTCTAAACTGTCGAAACGGAAGCTGCGAATCGGGAACTAACTTTAGCGTGGATGTATTATCACAAACCTGTTTGATGTGATTGAAAGTGCTGGAATAAGCTAGTAAGTGGGCCTTAAGTTAATTTTTTTTCTAAGTTATAAATAAGACAAGAAGAATGGCATAAAAATATTCCCAGAGAAGCATAAATTGGACTAAGTAGGTTACACAACAAAGACTGATGCGCATCTTCGTAGACTTTATTTTCTGTTAGTCCATTGGCTATGGCGACCGTTTGTCATGGTATTAGCCAATCATTGAACGGGCTGCTTATTTGGGGCGGTTATTATTTTTTTTTTGACGCTTGCGCAACTCAATGTTGTGATTTTAACTGTAGCAACATGTCTGCCTCCATGGTGCGAGCGACCGTCCGAGCGGTCAGCAAAAGAAAGATACTGCCTACAAGAGCTGCACTGACACTGGTAAGTTATAAACAGTGGTTGTAAACGCATGTGAATCACCTATCTGTCCGTTCAGAATATGTTTATTCTGAGTGTGCCGTCAACGATGCTTTACGTTACGTGATCCAAAGTTAGCTGCGCTAGCTAACCATCTGTGACTTGAACGTTAACTTATACACGGTACAACCAGAGACGTTGGTACAACTCGGTATCTCCTTTTACGTAACTTCCCTGTAACTTTTTTGTAAATTTTACCGTGTTCATGATCTTCTATAGCAGATTTACACAGTAGGGCGGTTATATAAGACTGACGTTTGGTCGTAAAATCGTAATTGTCCTTTAACTAACTTAATCTAGATGCTAAGGTTACTCCCAGGCAAGGTAAGGTGCTAAGCTAAGATGTTGCTTGGTAGTGAGCCATGGACTGTTATGTTCCTTAATAGCGGCCGTTTGCTGTACATTTAGCAATCAGACACGATACAGAAAATCGTGTAAAGCCATACAACTTGAAGTTATTGCACTTTTGGAATCAGTAATTTGCGTTTACGTAAAGTTGAGGAGCTCTCAAGAGACAGGTTTCAAAATCGACGCAGGCGATGTCGAAATATCCTGGCTTTCAGTCCCTAACGCAAAAATGTTCTGCATCATTTTCCATAATGCAACCAATAACAAGAACATATTTTCCTTTTAAAGTCCACATCCTTGCTCCCATGTCCAGCCATTAGACAATATACTTTTTTCACAAGCAGAGTTTCAGTCCTCCTGAGTAGTAAACTGACCTTTATACCTGAAATTAATGGATTGCCCATTTATTTATTTATTATTATTGAGTTTGTAATATAATGTAATATGAGTTACTTTTTTAATTCTAACACTAAGTAGACTCTAACAACAGTTAATTATAAATGGGGTCAATCAAATACCAGGCTAGAATCAGTGTGCATGAAAGATACCACAATTTAAAGTGAAACAAGTGAAAGGAACATTTTGAATAAATAAGTGGAGAAACATTATGAATGGAGATGCTACGGGGCACGAGGGCTCACTAAATGATTGGATGAGTATGTAAATGATGTGTATCATGTTCTGTGGCCTTCACAGTTAAACACAGTTTAACACATCGTGTTAATGTGTGTGTTGATGAGGTAATACACTTCAGTTACCACATCTCAACCCAGTTGATCCCAGGTGGGTGATTATAGAGGCTTGTGGTAGCTAGACACCTTACTGAAATACTTAATTTTGTTTTTTCCTTTAATTTATCACTCCTCTCTATCTGTTGCATGTTCTCTTCAGTATTTCCCCAAATTCACTGTCACTTTTTACTCTTAGCTGTGTAATAGAGGCAAACATACTAGAAAAGGATCTGTAGTCTATGGGAAAAACTACATATGATGTAAATGAATTGACTAGCAAGCTGTCAGTGCAGCGTCATTGTTATGGGCGGGAGAAAAATGTGTTGATATTGAATAGCAGCATGACGAACGCCCGCTGACAGTGCTGTTGTAAGATAATGTGTGCGCATGGTGGTCTGAGCTGATAAAGGTCGTGTGCTGAAGTAACCGACGTCTCTCAATGCTGAGGCAAATGCAGATGACGTGCCATTAAAGGGTTCTGCTGTACATATTTTCTTTAATAAATAACTTGACATCTTTTTAATATAAAAATTTGTTTAAGTGGGAGAGTTAGCAAAAGTAGCATGTGCGCTTAACCATTATACCCCTTATGGATTAAGATTCAAAGTGTGTGTGTGTGTGTTGGGGGGGGGGGGGGTAAAGATTTGTTATTATTTTTGTCTTTTTCAGCATGTGTTATTGTGGTCCTTTATCTGCATGTGTACTTCATGTTTATTCCCAAAAAAATGATTTAAAGAAACAACAATTTAAAATCCAGTGCTAAATCAGAGTGGGGTGAGGGAATAAATTGATATAGCACAGTATCATGATGTTTTCCGTGGCAATACTGTATGGCTACATGGATGTAACAAGTTTTTGACTTTATCATTCCACGTGGTTGACAGCATAGTTATGAAACCACTCCAGGCTGTGACACAGTTGGAATGTATTGCATATTTTGGCTTCAGCAGCACAGTTGCTCACAGAGATCAACACAGCGGCTTTAAGGGATTAGCACCATGTGGCTAATGTAGTTCACCTCAGTCTCCCAAATGCCTCCACGTGAGAGCCCAAACACTGGGATCCGTCCTTTTTTGCACTCAATTACAGCAGGAGGGTACGGGGTGCAGGTTATTTCATTATACTGTATACCTGCTCATTTCAGACAAGTTTGTGTCTTTACAGTGGACAGAAAGCATCATTAACAGCCATAGAAACTTGAACCTGCACCATAGTCTGCTTCTTTATTGTAATTCTTCTGTTCCGTATGTTCAGCATGGTTACAGTTTTGTGAAAATATACTGCTGCCATATAAGTATATAGTAGCTGTGAGTTGTAACCTTTTACCATGTGCTTTCTCCTCTTTAGACTCCATCGGCTGTGAGCAAGATCAGGTTATTGTTGCAGAACAAGCCGGAATATGTGAGTAATTCATACTGTGGACATTCACAGAAACATATAATAAAGCAGGCAGTACTATTCTTTTGTAATGGCAGCAGGGAGCTGTCTTTGGTTTAATTCATTTAATTGGGTTGTTCTCATCAAAAGCATTCATCCTCCTATGCTTCAGGTGGTTAAAAAGTAAACTTTTATTAATATCTTAGGACATTTTATCTTTACCGAATATGTAAGGGGAAATAATAAGGCCACACAATCATTTCTTTTCCTTCGCCGGCTTTTGGGTAAAAGATTTCTTGAAGTGAAATTTAAAGGCGCTGTAAGGACAATGTTTAGTAATGTCTAGTGGCGGGAGACTACAAAACATCAGCAAACATCTGTTATTCCGCAACATTTAAAAATATGTTTGTTCTCTTTTTTTAAGAAATTGAATATTAGATTGTAGCTCAGAGGTAAATCTACGTCTGGCTCTTTGTAGATCGGTTTGAAGGTCGGAGTGAGAACACGTGGCTGTAATGGGCTGACTTACACACTGGACTACACCAAGGAGAAAGACAAGTCTGATGAGGAAGTGCTGCAGGATGGTAAGCTATGGGTTAATGATTCACAGCATTGCTGTCTGCCACAGTAAAAATCTTTGACACTACCACAAGGGGGTGCATAAGTTGAAAATGTTAAAATTCTACGTGTAGTGGCTTTAATAAAAAATATGTATTTGTAGTGTTCAACGTATAAACAAAGCCACGTCAGTCTGGCCGAGTATTAAAGCCAAGGTTTGAACTTGGGAGTAGTAACGGCTTTACTGTGACTCGCTTGCAGGTGTGAGGGTGTTCATAGAGAAGAAGGCTCAGCTGACCCTTCTGGGAACTGAGATGGACTTTGTGGAGTCAAAACTGTCCAGTGAATTTGTCTTCAACAATCCCAACATCAAGGGCACATGCGGCTGTGGCGAAAGCTTCAATATCTGAGGACCATGGAGCCTCGGACCTCCCGCACCCTCCCCGCTCCAAACCCATGTCCCACCTATAAAGACTGAGAGACTGAATGCTAACGAGGAAGACGGACATGAGGAAATCTCTGAGATGTGGACGTGCCTGCATTTCTACAAATGCTCTTCCTGCAGACCACTCGTACACGCACATTCGTGAAACCCAGTTATGCATGTTCATGCTTAGAGGAAGGTTTTAATACAATCAGTGTAGTCAAAACCGCCTCAGCAAATTGATTTTAGGCCCAGATACCTCCTGATGTTAACTGCTTTTTTTTTTTTTCATTCTTAGAACCTCAGAAGGACCTCAGAAGCAGGGTGTTTTTTAATTTAGGGACTCGCTGCCGTCTCGCACACACACGCACATTATCTTCAGATTTCATCACGACCTTTACGCAGGAGGATATGGTACAACATGACCAACAACGTGCTCACTGAAGCTGAGAGGTGATCAGGTTTAAGTTGGTAAAGCTAAGAGAATGACGGTGTACCACCTATCATTCAGTGATGTACCAGCAGAATGCAAAAGGCGAAGCGTTTTAGTGTCTTGAAACTGCTTTATTAGTTTGTAAAGTATATATTTATCTCTGTGTACATATAAAGAATGTAAATCACCCTTGAACAACAAACGCACAACAAAACAACACACCAAACATGTATCCCTCACAGAAGAATACATGAGGTTTATGTTGGATTATATTTTGCTTGATCAAAGCCAGAACTTTGATCAAGCAAGACTTTATGCTCTTAAGATGTGTAACCTGTGCAATATGTCTGTGTACAGATGAAATAATAAAAAATAGCTAAATCCTGTATTATGAAATCGTGTGGCCACTGTTTAATGTGTTTGCAGTTTCTTGTGCCTGGATGACAAACTTAGACCGGTTGTTATGGAGATGGGTCAGTTGTTATTAGAATCTTCTTCTCTGTTGTGATTGGTGATCATTCGGTTGTCAGAACCAGATGGATTTTGTGTCACTGTTTCATTACACTGTACATCTGTTTCTGCAGCCAGCTGATGAACTGTCGTCACTTCTTTCAGGCAGGAGGTACTGCTGTATTAAAAGATTTATTTTAATCATCTGTATTTTAGTTTTTTAACATTACTGAACTAACAAGTGGGCACTTGGCTTGCTTTTGTAAAGGTCATTTGGGGTCATGGACAATCAAAACAAGGATGGAGAGTCAGACAGCAGAGAGTCTTGTGGACTGAAGGTAGTGAAAAATTAGATTTACAACAAGATGTTAACTCTGAAATAACTGGTTGCTTTTGAATGCTGTAGGTTTGTAAAAGATGAATGAAATCACAAGGGGGAGGGATGTACTGACATTCTAGTTTTACTTTTTCACTTTATTTAGTAGTAGTCCACTCACCACTCTCCAGCAGCTAAAAGCTCCGCTATGTTGGGTAACTTTGTCTGTATGACGGTTTGGTGCTGGGTGGTTATCAGAACCTTTTTGGTGAAAAGTAGCTGCTTGCGGCATCCAGAAAAGATCCTGATAACAGAATGAATCAAAACAGTAATGTTGCTTCCTGGAAAACAATGAGCTAAAAGATGCTAAAAGGCTTTGTTGAGCTGGGAGTCAGCTGATTGTGGGTTTGTCACTGCCATCACCCACTTTCTCATTGCAAAAATAAAAATGTTGCTTAGCACAGCTTTAAATGTATTGTTGTGAAAGATACTGTTTCAAACAAAGTGGATGCTCTTCAACCTGATAACTCAAGTAACTGCAGGTTAATTCCTCCTGAATAAGCAATGACATAATGTTTTCATTTTCTTGCTGTACTTCCTTTTGATTTTATTGTGTTTGTGCAAAGTACAGCGTGTTTACTAAGTGTTCAAAAAACCCCACCTAATTAAACTGGATTCATATCATTATATCACTGAAAAACTCTCCCTCTGCTCCCTGTCTCAGATTTCAGAGTTACTAAAGGCTTTGGCTGAGAGGAAATCACCACCATGTGACATGACACATACTGACCCCCGAAACATCAGCACCACCCTCTCCATCTTAAAGAACACAGGGACAGGCACTTTGAACACTGGTCAATAAGCAATTAGTCGTTACATTCTCAGACTCACAGATACATAGATCCTTTATAGAACTCCTTCCACACAACTAGGCCGGAGAGGCCAAGGTGGTTTTAGCCCTATTTGACAATTTGGTCTTGCTGAAGAGACACACTCACTGCAGGAGAGCTGTTTCATGAAAAGTTCTCAATTAATTGATGATTTTTCTTAAGGTCATGATAAAAAATTATAAATGAATGAGACGTGAAATGGTGATGTAACCATAATAATATTATAACAGAGCATTTTCTTGTGATCATGTAATAATTTCATTAGCGTGAATGCCTTGTGTTCTTACTGGGAAAAAGGCATCAGTAGAGTAACATGGTTTAGGTGCATAAAGAGACCAATCAGTAGATCAATAGTTGATCCTTCACTAATTGTTGTTATGCTTGATCCCGATTCAGAGCCAACGAACGAATGTATTTTTAAGGACTTGACGACCTCCAGAAGGAGCTGTTTGTAGGCGCTAGAGTCCAGAGTAACTCTCAGAAGGCTTGGAAAACTACTCGCCACATCTTAGCAGAATCCACTTCTTTACCAACCAGTTAAAGAAAGTCAAAGACAGAAAAGATAAAATCCACCTGAAACCAGTAAACACAGTTTGCCTGTTTAAAAAAAAAGAAAAAAAAATTACATACCATTTGTTTGTGCAACACGGACCATTGTTGCAGTACTCGTTAGACACAAGGTTTATTTAAGGAGTCGTGTGTTCCACATTCAACAAACACTGTCTGAATATGCTCTATGTGCACTCTCTTCCACAGTAATGCATTTAGTAAAGTAAATCTAAAAATATGAAACATCTAGTGACACTTCAAAATCCTGTTTTTGTTCAGTAGCCCTGAACACATCTTAAAGATGCATTATTATTATTATTATTATCAAGACAAGCTCAAATTATATTTGATATTTATATCAGTCATTTGATTTAATCTCAAGCCAAATAATTTCAAATGATTTTTAGATATTTGATGTCCAGGAGAACATTTTTAAAAAAAGCAAAAAAAACAAAACAACAACTGCAAAAACAGCAAAGTCACTTTAACACTTAAACACTTTATTTACTCTGTCACGCTGTGCAGTTGGCATGGTTTGCCACTTTGCAGCCAAGGCCATGATGGATGTAATGACAGCTTTAAAAGGTATTTGTTTTGCTTGAAGTGTGTGTGTGTTGGGGGGGAGATCAGGCTGTACTGTCACCACGACCCCCAGCTGCCTCCATGAGTCATTCATTTCAATTTTGGTTTGCAGGTTACGTCCCAGACTGATAGAAATTTGAAGATATTTGGTTAAATTTCAGATTCTACTTTTCCACACTTGGCTCAGCTGTACTCAGGTTTAGCTGCAGTTTCAGTTGAAGCTTGCATTGACCACAACTTCTGGATGTTAACGTGATGAAGAAATAAACTGATTTTATTGATTCCAGCTGCAGTCACTTTACAGGGCACTCAGTCCTGGGTAATTATAGGTGAAGATGCAGATTTAGTTTTAAAGCTCCTATCACATCAGTCTGTCTTGTATTCACATAAACGTTCACAAGCAACATGACTCATGTCTCCTCTAACCCCCACCTTCACCAGTCATGGTGGTCTATAACAGTGCTTTCATCTCAGACCTGCAAAGAACAAAACAGCAGCCCATCACTGACCGACACGAGACAAAAACCTTACAGAGCAGAGAGGGGAACACTGATTCAAACAGGCACAACACAGGTAAGAAAAGCTTTTTATAAAGGAAAAAACTATATTTATATTTAATTTGCCTTTGTCTGATTTAATAAATCCAAAATAGGAAGTATTTATTTAAATAACTTAAATAAAGATGATATGTTTAAATGTACCACTTTTTTTCTTTACTTTGATATTGTAATTTTTTGTGTTTCGTCTGTATGGTGTAGAGAAACCGATACTGTCTTGATCTGAGACAGACACCGCAGTAACATAAGAGGAGATTCATGTAACAGTGTTGCATGTAACATAGAAATATTCCTGTCTTTTATTTGTGAAGATGATGGTGGAAACAGCAGCCAGTCACGGGCCAGATTGTGGGTCTGTGTGCAACAAGTCCGCAGCTCTGGAGGGCCAAGGGCCACCCGTGTTGGTCGACGCCTGGCTGGTCCCCACTTTCTTCAGCCTCATCATGCTGGTTGGCCTGGTTGGGAACTCGCTGGTCATCCATGTGGTCACCAAGCACCAGCAGATGAAGACCGTCACCAACATTTACATAGGTAACATTAATAAGACACACTCTTTTAAAAAATATATGTAGTATCAGTGCGTTCAGTGAAAGAAATGTGTTTTTGAAACTGCAGTAGCTTGATAATATAGGAAGTGGCATGCCCCACACAGAAGGTTACAGGGCTAAAAAAAGGAAATTCCTAAGAAAATTGTGACTTTGCAAAGTAAAAAGAGAGAACATAGATGAGGGCACTCTTTCTGCAGGTCAGAGACGTAATCAGTCAAATTAAAGGTGCCCTCTGCAGTTTTCTTACAAACAGTTTTCTTTCTTTGTGCAAGACGGACATTTGTGTAGCTGATTTTTTATCTATTTATTTATTTTTGGATTGTTTATAATTCTGGATCAAAGATGACGTCATTATGGGGGATATAGTTAAGGTTAGCATCACCTCGGCATAGATGTCTCAACCCCACAGAGTTTAAATACTGTAGCAAGTCAGTTAGAACTGAAAAGGCCTCTTGGATGAGAGGCGAAACGTCTTCTAGTATCTTCAACCAAGTTCATTTGCTCTTGATTTAACCTTCCTTGGACACCTTGGCATAGTTTTAAAAAGGGTCCCATCTTAATTAATCATTTATTAAATGCACCTCCTGGAGAGGACACTAGGTGACATAAATCAAACACACCCACACTATATGCCACACACTGGTTATAGTGGGACAGAGAGGCTGAGCGGACTGGTTACAGTGGGACAGAGAGGCTGAGCGGACTGGTTACAGTGGGACAAAGAGGCTGAGTTGACTGGTTCCAGTGGGACAGAGAGGCTGAGTTGACTGGTTCCAGTGGGACAGAGAGGCTGAGTTGACTGGTTACAGTGGGACAGAGAGGCTGAGTTGACTGGTTACAGTGGGACAAAGAGGCTGAGTAGACTGGTTACAGTGGGACAAAGAGGCTGAGTAGACTGGTTACAGTGGGACAGAGAGGCTGAGTTGACTGGTTACAGTGGGACAGAGAGGCTGAGTTGACTGGTTACAGTGGGACAGAGAGGCTGAGTTGACTGGTTACAGTGGGACAGAGAGGCTGAGTGGACTGGTTACAGTGGGACAAAGAGGCTGAGTTGACTGGTTCCAGTGGGACAGAGAGGCTGAGTTGACTGGTTACAGTGGGACAAAGAGGCTGAGTAGACTGGTTACAGTGGGACAGAGAGGCTGAGTTGACTGGTTACAGTGGGACAAAGAGGCTGAGTTGACTGGTTACAGTGGGACAAAGAGGCTGAGTTGACTGGTTCCAGTGGGACAGAGAGGCTGAGTTGACTGGTTCCAGTGGGACAAAGAGGCTGAGTAGACTGGTTACAGTGGGACAGAGAGGCTGAGTTGACTGGTTCCAGTGGGACAGAGAGGCTGAGTTGACTGGTTCCAGTGGGACAGAGAGGCTGAGTTGACTGGTTACAGTGGGACAAAGAGGCTGAGTAGACTGGTTACAGTGGGACAGAGAGGCTGAGTAGACTGGTTACAGTGGGACAAAGAGGCTGAGTAGACTGGTTCCAGTGGGACAGAGAGGCTGAGTTGACTGGTTACAGTGGGACAAAGAGGCTGAGTTGACTGGTTCCAGTGGGACAGAGAGGCTGAGTGGACTGGTTACAGTGGGACAAAGAGGCTTAGTTGACTGGTTACAGTGGGACAAAGAGGCTTAGTTGACTGGTTACAGTGGGACAAAGAGGCTGAGTGGACTGGTTACAGTGGGACAAAGAGGCTTAGTTGACTGGTTACAGTGGGACAAAGAGGCTGAGTTGACTGGTTACAGTGGGACAAAGAGGCTTAGTTGACTGGTTACAGTGGGACAGAGAGGCTTAGTTGACTGGTTCCAGTGGGACAGAGAGGCTGAGTGGACTGGTTACAGTGGGACAAAGAGGCTGAGTGGACTGGTTACAGTGGGACAAAGAGGCTTAGTTGACTGGTTCCAGTGGGACAAAGAGGCTTAGTTGACTGGTTCCAGTGGGACAGAGAGGCTGAGTGGACTGGTTCCAGTGGGACAAAGAGGCTTAGTTGACTGGTTCCAGTGGGACAGAGAGGCTGAGTGGACTGGTTACAGTGGGACAAAGAGGCTTAGTTGACTGGTTCCAGTGGGACAAAGAGGCTTAGTTTACTGGTTACAGTGGGACAGGGAGGCTTAGTTGACTGGTTACAGTGGGACAGGGAGGCTGAGTGGACTGGTTACAGTGGGACAAAGAGGCTGAGTTGACTGGTTACAGTGGGACAAAGAGGCTGAGTTGACTGGTTACAGTGGGACAAAGAGGCTTAGTTGACTGGTTACAGTGGGACAGAGAGGCTGAGTGGACTGGTTACAGTGGGACAAAGAGGCTGAGTGGACTGGTTACAGTGGGACAAAGAGGCTTAGTTGACTGGTTACAGTGGGACAGAGAGGCTGAGTGGACTGGTTACAGTGGGACAAAGAGGCTTAGTTGACTGGTTCCAGTGGGACAGAGAGGCTGAGTGGACTGGTTACAGTGGGACAAAGAGGCTTAGTTGACTGGTTACAGTGGGACAAAGAGGCTTAGTTGACTGGTTACAGTGGGACAGGGAGGCTTAGTTGACTGGTTACAGTGGGACAAAGAGGCTGAGTTGACTGGTTACAGTGGGACAGAGAGGCTGAGTAGACTGGTTACAGTGGGACAAAGAGGCTTAGTTGACTGGTTACAGTGGGACAGAGAGGCTGAGTTGACTGGTTACAGTGGGACAAAGAGGCTGAGTTGACTGGTTACAGTGGGACAGAGAGGCTGAGTGGACTGGTTACAGTGGGACAGGGAGGCTTAGTTGACTGGTTACAGTGGGACAAAGAGGCTGAGTTGACTGGTTACAGTGGGACAGAGAGGCTGAGTGGACTGGTTACAGTGGGACAAAGAGGCTGAGTAGACTGGTTACAGTGGGACAGGGAGGCTGAGTAGACTGGTTATATTATGCAGTGAGAATAAACAAGCTCAGAGGTTTAACCTAGAACAGATTGAGGAGGACTTTGTTTTGCTCAAGACTCACATAAAGATGTTCAGATAAGGTGAGTACAACAACAAACAAATGGATGTAACTCTCTCTCTCCATATTAGGACGCCAACAACCACTGTGTTGCCCAGCAACCTAGTGATTATATTGACTATATATATTTGATTTCAGTGGGTGAGAATTAGAAAGGAAGAACACAGGTTAGTTTGTGAAGTTTAAAAGGCAGAAACCTCAGCACCAACCAATGTTATCCGTGTTGAAACAGTCATTTATGGTCTTTTGCCCCTTTGAATGCATTTCTCTGTTCTGGTTCTCTTACAGTAAACCTGGCTACGACCGACATCTTGTTTCTGGTCTGCTGCGTGCCCTTCACTGCCACACTGTACCCACTGCCCAGCTGGATCTTTGGAGAGTTCATGTGCCGACTGGTGAACTACCTTCAGCAGGTGAGACACACACACACACACACACACACACACACACACGCACACACGCACACAGGCACACACGCACAAACCACAAACGCACACATAAACAGGCCTGGAGTTTAAAAATTGGCACTGTAAACATGTCATCACAGTCACTAGTAAGATGGTAACGATTACAGTCCCATAATACAAGTAATATTGTGGCATGGTGACCAAAATACCACTCTATACCACTGCAATAATAATTTCTATGAAGTCCCATGAGACATTATACTATGTGCAGAATAACTACTATCAGATGAACAGCTACTCAAATAATGCAAAAGCAGACTGTAAACATCAGAAGTAAATATGATTTATTAAATGTTCAGTTCTCACACGAAAATAATAAAATAATAAAAACATCTAGTTCTCACAGACCACATGGGAGTATCAGTGTTATCAAGCTGTGCTGTCATTGGTCAAGTCTGAAGGTTAGCCTCCATTATTCAAAAAAGGTTTTGCTCAAAATGTGCATTACATTTTACGGTGTTATTCCATCATGAATTTCTACACGGTACATAACATAAAACCAACTTGAAATGTATGTGTAGTGTAAGCAGTCCAGAGGAAATTACTCAGTTGTGGCAGAAATATTATTAAGAGCTGTTCAACTGTGTTAAAAGTAACTCCTTTGCAGTGGGCAATATTAATAATGATGAAGATGTGATTGTATCCCCACAAGAAGTCTATGATGCAATTATGTTGCTAAAAGATAATAAGGCATGCGGTATAGATAAGATTTCTGCCAAACATTTAAAATTTGCAAGTAGAAAAGTCTGTCCTCTGCTTTCCATTTGTTTTACTGGGTTTCTAGTTCATGGTATTTTACCTGATTCTATTTTATCTGTTATGTTAGTGGCAATTATTAAAGACAAAGCTGGCAAAACAAATAGCATGGATAATTACAGGCCTATAGCTCTGGCAAGTACTTTATCCAAGGTCTTGGAGAGGACCTTACTAAATAAGCTGGAACAGTTTGTCCTGACCTTTGACAACCAGTTTGGTTTTAAACCTAAACACGGCACAGATACGTGTATTTTTGCCTTGAAGGAAATTTTAGATTTGTATAACAGGCACAATTCCACCATTTTATGTGTTTTATTGATGCCTCTAAAGCCTTTGATCGCAATAATCATGAAAAACTATTTTTAAAGTTACAAAATAGAGGAGTTCCCAAATCTTAAGTGAGAATTCTCACTTAAGATTACTTCTGAATGCTCATCAATCAATGTATGTGAAATGGGGCAACTCTGCGTCGGCCCCATTCAATGTATGCAATGGAGTTAGACAGGGAGGTATTTTGTCTCCCTTTCTTTTTAATATCTACCTGGATGATTTATCAAAGCTGTTAAACAGCTGTGGAACAGGTTGTATGGTTGGTAACAATATCATCAACCACTTGATGTATACAGACGATTTGGTGATTCTTTGTCTTTATAGTGCTGGTCTTCAACAGTTACTGAGGGTTTGTTCTCAAAGCTCAGGCTTTGACATTAAGTATAATGCCAAGAAGAGTAATATTATGATTGTTAAGAGTAGAGTGACTTCTCTCTGTCTGGTACTGTCCTTAAGGTATGTGATGAGGCTAAATATTTGGACATTATCTAACTGACGACCTGTCTGATGGTGGACAGTGTCTTATGATGTATGCACAGGCTAATATGTTGATTCGCAAATTTAGTACATGCTCAGAATCTGTTAAGACTACCCTTTTTAGAGCATATTGTACCCCTATGTATACTGCCCATTTGTGGAGGTGTTGCAGAAAGAGCAGTATGCAGAAGCTCAATGTAGCATATAATGACGGTTTGAAGCTGCTGCTGAAGGAGCCACAATGGAGCAGTGCAAGCCAAATGTTCGTCAGTGTTGGTGTGCCCACCTGCTCTGTGCTGCGCAATCTCATGTACAGATGTATGTGTAGATTATCAGACTCTGCAAACAGTATCATTTCAGCACTGACCAACGCGGCACTAAGTTCAGTTATGTTCTTTTCCAGAACGTGGAATCATTGGCGTTTTAGCCTCTGTGTAAATAGGCCTGTGTAATATTGTGGACTATGTATGTTTTTTCCTTTGTCTACTTTAGTGTTTGTCTGTTTAAGTTTTTCATTGTATATCTTTTGGACCGGATGTGTGTCCTTAATAAAAGCTAATATAGCCTATATGTCAGAGAGAAAAAAGGCAACATTTTCTTTGCGCGGTAGAAGAATGAAGTGTCAGACAGAAACAAACCTGCCTTGTGTTTCAGGTGACTGCTCAGGCAACTTGCATCACTCTGTCAGCTATGAGTGTGGACCGCTGCTACGTGACCGTCTATCCCCTGCAGTCACTGCGACACCGAACCCCACGCCTGGCTCTGGCCGTCTCTCTGTCTATCTGGATAGGTATCACACAAATACTCCATGCACACTTACACAACCTTATACACACATTGGCAATGAGACAGCGGTAACAGCGTATTGCATCTGTTTTTTCCCCTTGATGCTAATTATTTAATGCATTAAAGTGACAAAAACTGAAGCAGCTGATTTGGAGATTTTATTGAGGTGATAAAAAACATAAAACAATGTATTAATTCAGTTCATATTATACATTCTTCCAGCAATTTAGTGTGAGTATTATTTCTTTGAGTAATCAAACAAAACTTCATGTACATGCTGTTGTTGAAATAAACTTATTGTCACAGAGAATTAAAAAAACATTTTGGATTGATTTTATCCCAATTTCTCAAGTTGCTTTTCTTCAAATTGTTTATTTTTGCTTTTTGGGGCTTTTGGGTAATTCTATATAGCAGTTTGGGATTTTCCGAGCCGTCGTCTAGTGGCATTGAGTGAATGTTATTATGACCATTATGCTCTGTGTCACACAGTCATGTGCCCTGTCCTCTCCAGGCTCCTTGCTTCTGTCAATCCCTGTAGCCGTGTACCAGCGTCTGGAGGCAGGATACTGGTTTGGTCCTCAGACGTACTGCAGTGAGGTCTTCCCCTCGGCCCGTCTCCAGAGAGCCTTCATCATCTACAGTTTCCTGGCAGTCTACCTTCTGCCCCTGCTCACCATCACCGCTTGTTACGCCTTCATGCTCAAGCGAATAGGGCAGGCCAGCGTGAATCCCATCGACAGCAGCTACCAAGTAAGAGGGCGATATGGAGTTACTTTCACTTGCAAAACTTATTTTTCACACCTTAAATCCATAGACAGAGAATGTTTCTGGTTATTTCAAAGACATTACAAAGCCTCCTTAACTCCAGCTTCAGGCTCAGGCCGAGCGGGGAGCAGCAGTGCGGGCGCGAGTCTCCCGGATGGTGGTGGTGATGGTGGCCCTTTTCCTCATCTGCTGGGGCCCCATCCAGGTCTGCATCCTCCTGCAAACATTTGGCCTCCGCAGTTACGCTCTATACAAGGTGACATACTCTCCATGATGTTTGATTAAATGAGCCTCACTGTGCTGCTGGCAGGGAGGTTATAGGGGTGAAACCGAATATGAACACATTGTTCAGATGTGCTCTGATAACCCAAATTTTTGCAGTAACGTTTCATAACTCAATCTACTCTGAACACATAGACATCATACACACATCTCCGTGTCCGTCAAGGACAGATGTTCATTAATCCATTTCGAAATCATTTAAAAATAACACTTCTCATTGATTTCATATCTTGTCTCATAATCATCAGATTTAAACGTTTTCTTCAGTATCAGAGTAATCCAGGTGATTGTCTGTGATCCAGATGAGCCAGAATGTGAATAGGCTACAGGCTAAAAACTTGGAGGTGTACTGAGGTTTAAGTTCAACATTCAGCCCCCACCCCCATTTCTGCTTCATCTAAGTATGTCTTAAAGAGGTGGTATTGTGCTAATTTTCAGGTTTAAAATCCTATTTAGGGGTTGTACCAGAACAGGTTTACATAGTTTAATTTTCAAAAAACATCATATCTTTTGTCATACTGCACATTGCTGCAGCTCCTCTTTTCACCCTTTGTTGAAGGCTTCATTTTATCTATGGAGTGATACATCTTGTCTCTAAATGATCTTTGTTGGGAGTTGCACAAATGTGCAGTTCCTATGGTGCCTATGGTGTGAGAGACCTGGGTTCAATCCCCCGCTGTGACACATCCACCAATGTGTCCCTGATTTTAACCCCTAGGTGCTCCAGAGGCGTGTGACCTCTGACATATATAGCAATTGTAAGTCGCTTTGGATAAACGCATCAGCTAAATGAATAAATGTAAGGACTACTAGCCAATCAGAAGCAGAGATAGGCGAGTCAGCAAGAAGAAGGTAAACAGGGCTTCGGTTCAGCTGTACATGTTGCCGACCTGCTTGGCAACATAGACTGGAGCAAGAGTTTCAGAGTGGTGAGTTATTAATCTGTAACAAAAGTATCTTTCATCCATAAAGTTTTAACTAAGCTCTGTCTCTACATCACAGTAACAACTTTAAGTCCACTGACTGCCTGGAGGGTAGCTAGTGTTTGGAAGGGAGAGGAGAGGTGTTCTGGAGCTCAGTGTTTTTCCACCGGTGTTTTTGTGGGCGTGTTGGACTAGCCGCTTGGCAAGCATTATGATGCTTATACTATGTGCATTTTTGCTGTGTCGTCACAGGGATGAAAGGGAAACGGCTGGACACCAAACGAGCTGTTTTCAGGCAGTTCATAGCAGTGTTTTCTGTGGGAGATGGGAACTCTCTTTGTGGTGGACTTTGGGCTTTTTCACTTTGCAAACCTATTACATGCACAAAAAAGGTGTATAACTCAATAAAGGAGAGGGAAAAAGCCAAAAAGCATAATACCACCTCTTTAATTTTGCATCCACAGCTGAAGATTTGGGGTCACTGCATGTCCTACTCCAACTCCTCCGTCAACCCGCTTGTTTACGCCTTCATGGGCAACAACTTCCGAAAGGCCTTCAAGAACGCCTTCCCTGCCGTATTTCTGTGGCGTATGAGGGGGAGAGTGAGTGTGGGACACATGGACACAGAGAACAGGGGAGAGATGGTTCGCCAGGCACCCAAAGGAGAAGCAGAGATGCACTTTCTTTCATCTGGTTCCTAAAGGCCATGCTGGGCATCCAGACACTGTGCACTCATTGTTTATTTAGAGTTTGTTCTGGAGATAGAGCAGTCTGCTCAACCTGGTGTATGTGTGTATGGACGAGCACACACACACACACACACACACACACACACACACACACACACACACAAAGAACATACAGGCACAATGTGGGCTCAATTTAGACAGCACAAAGAACACCAGTAACTGACAGGTTTGAACACACACACACACACACACACACACACACACACACACAGAGGAGCAATTGCTGCTGTGTGACCTCTGATGTTATCACTGTGAAACATGGCAAACCATTCAGGTCTCTCGTGACCTTCACATGCTTCTAAAATGCAACAAATACAACAAGTCAAAATGTTTGAGCTGCTGGGTTTCTGGATCTCCAGGTCTCAAGGAAGTGTGCAAAAATATATCGGACAACAATTGCACTGTTAGTGACTGCATCCTTTATGGACAACAGCTTTGTTGGACATAATGATTTATAGTATAGTATAGTATAGTATAGTGTTACAGTAAGAATCTGGGTTAAACACTTATTTAGCAGGTTGTTCTGCACTATATAATTAATTTTTGGCACCATTAGTGGAGCTTTATCGTACTGTATAGTTACAGTTCATCCTTTGTGAATAGCCACTTTGGAAAGGTGCTGACCAGCTACAAAATGTGTGAGAGTAATTCAGTTATTTAGGCAGTGGTGAAATTACTCCAGTACTGAAGTACTCATACTTTATACTTCTACTCCACTACAAGTAAGAGGGAAATATTGTACCTTTTACTCCACTACAATTATTCGACAGCAAATAAAGATTTTAAATACAAAACACATAAAGAGCTTATAAAATATGATGTTTTGATCTAGATAAACTACCCAAGCATTTATACAATAAGAGCTGATTTTAGTTGATTAACTGAGGAGTTGATTGACATTACTCCCTATATTCTTAATTTTTACAAACCAAACAATTTGTTGATTAATCAATAAATCAATCGGCAAATGAATCCCTAATGAAAATAATCATTAGCTGCAGCCTTAATAAATAAGACACTTAACAATTAACCCCATCTCAACCAACATTAACAGTAAAATGTTGCTTACACATTAATGCATGAGTAATAATCAAATTATTTCTGTAATATATGAACAGTTGCATGGGCCTTTATGGGGGGGATTTAGTACTTTCATTTTTAATACTTAAAGCACATTTTCCTGATTTTATTTGTACCACCCACCCCAGCCACAGCCTGCTCACCCTGCTGCCATCTGGCATGCGATACAGAAGTATCCTCTGTCATACCACCAGGCTAGAGCAGCATCTTTCTTCAGGCGGAGAGACTCCTGAACTAAATAAATTACATGAACCTTGCTGCTGGTTTTACACATGACCATAGCTATATATATATATATAAAGGTATAAAGGTTTACGGTGATAAAAAGCACAAAATATTAAACAAAAAATTGAGTAACACGAATGAAGAAGGTTTACGATGATAAAAAGCACAAAATATTAAACAAAAAATTAAGTAACACGGGCACAGTATTAAAACAGCGAAAAAAGCGTGGCAAACAATGACTGACTGATAAAGTAAGTAGCTAAACATATCACCGCTCTTGAAACTGAAACTGTCAAAATTCTAATGTTACAGATGTTATGTCATACATTAAAAGTGAGCAGTGGACGTTAATATGCCACAATTAAATTGTAATTATGGAGAGCCAATTCACAATAAAATGTATCTCCTTTTATTGTATTTAAGTTACTTATGTAGGCCTATAGAAAAACTAACTGTGTTGAAAAGTGGTGGGGACATAAGGGCTCAGATTAGGGGTGTGACGATAGGCTTGATTCACGATATGTGATGATGCACATGAGAACAAGACAAGAACAATATTTTAACACAATTTTGAAGTAATGTTCAATGCTTAAATATGAGTGGTGAGTCTGGGAGTCCTTCCCCAGACGTTTGTAAGCATTAAACACTTAGTTTCCTGACTTCTGGAGAAATATTCTTCACCAATTACACAACATGCAGCAGGCAGGTGACAATTCAAAATATAAAAATATAATGCAGTAATCATAGCTTGTTCTTTTAGCTTAGTAAGTTACTTATTTGGACAATGTACATTTGTTTCTTCTATGTTTACATCGAATTGTATGTTTTTTTTTTATTGTGTAAATAAACCTTTCTTAAGCCTTTCCAGTTATTTAACATAGAACAATATAAGTTGCTCATAGAAAATACTGTATCATATTTGTAACTTGACCCTGAGGCTGTAGTCCTACAGTTTGACAGCCAGTCTGGCAATGTGGTATTACCTGAAGGTCTTCCACAGGTGAACAGTTCCTACTGTGCTAAGTGCTAAGTGTTTTACAAACTGTCAGATGTCTGAACTGCACACACTTGAAAAATTTAACAAAATAAAATATCACCAAATCCCCAGCAGGACTTGAACCAAGATATGGGGATAAAAATAGATTCTTGAGAAATTGACAATGCACACTGTAAGCATGATTGTAACACAATGCATTAATCATTGTTTTCTCTCCAAAAAGCTTGCAGCAAATAAGTGATCCCAGGGAGGGGAACATTTTTTTTTTTTTAATTGTTGTGTCCTCTCCCTAATGTTTCATGAAAGAGTAGTGCACAGTATGTCCAGTGAAGTGGGATAATAATAGGGAGAAGTATAGCCTATTATCCAATTATGTGTATGTATGTATATATTGAGCCCCAGTTATTTATGTATTTATTTTTTACGCTTATATACCACTCACTGTGTGTAAAGGACGGTACACGCGTCTTCTTCTCCAATTATAAAATCGAATGACCACAAACTATGTGCTACCATCTTGCCAATGTAGGCTACCTGTATTTTAATGCAGGCTAATGAATAATGTGCACGAGAATATGGAATAACTGAAAAAAAAATCACTGGTTTCTGATGACTGAACAGATAAGGCACCACCTTAACTGGCTGCTCTGGAGCAGCTGCACAGAATAAATCTCCGTGATAATTTATGTGCTACTGCTTTCGTGAAACCGAGTCAAGACTAAATTCAGCCAGGATATCTGGAAAATCCCGCTTAATCCGCTATCTTGGTTTTGTGAAACAGCCCTCTGGTTGGTTCTTTGGTGATTGAATACGTGTGATTTTGTGACAGAACAAGCTAATACTGTAATCGAAAATCTGGTGGGAACAAATAACGCATTGAACTGTCCACGGCGAAGTTAGCTGCTAAGTTTAAAAAAACTTAACAATAATTACATTAATAACTACATTAATCAGCACGTTTTTGCTAATTAATTTTCCTTTACAATTTTTGAACAAGTAAGTTATGCAAAGTACTTCAAAATAGCATAATTAATAAGTTGGGTAACCTCATTGATTATCTGTTTAATATATTTCAACACAGGGCGAATATATTATATACATTTTATTTCATATATATGTTAATATATGTGTGTAAGTTACAATATGTAACGTTAAGAATATACATAGAAGCTAGCGTATGTAGCTATATCTCAGGAGGGTCTCAGGAGGTTAATTAGCTGGTAACAGCTGCTAATTGCTGTTAAACGGTATGCTTGTGACAGCTGTACGTTAGTTGTTTACGTGTGTATACTTTATTTTTATAGCCCACTTACAGTATACAAAATCTAACGTACCTTTATCACACTTTTCACGTTTACGAGGAGCACCTGAACGCAACATTTTAGACACACCAGCTACACGATTGGTATCCACGCTGGGGAAGAAGAGCATAAGTAACGTAACAGTAGAAGTACAGCAGAAGCGCAGGGGGCAGATCATTCATCCGCTGAATCAAACAACACTTGTTGAACACAGGACATCGTTTTACATCATGGAGCAGAAACGAACCATCAACTTTGGCGCTGGACCTGCAAAACTCTCCCAAACCGTGAGTTTAGATCCACATTTTGCTTGTGCAACGTTAATAATGTGAATGAGTGCTTTAACACACGAGCCAGTTGTGGTATATAAAACTACTGCAAAGAGAAATGTCGCGCTGTTTTTGAAGATGCACGCTTCATTTCGAGTCGTGCTGTTGATTAAAGGCACGTTCAAGACTCAGGATTTATATATTGGTGCTATTTCCCCCTCATAATGACAGAAACCGGCATGCAGATTTGTGAGAAAAGGACTAGTTGGTTTTTTTGGTGCTTTGTCGGCTTGGCATTTGTCAGCAGATCCAACCGACTGAGAACAACTGAGTGCTGAGTTGCATCAGCCTCATTCATTCATGTGGAAACCTACGCCTTTGTGCTTCTCTGGCAGCCACAGATAACGCCTCTAGATGGCAGAAAAACACTTTGCATGTCAGAAAAATAAATCACAGCTCTCTCTTAGGAAACTATAGTAAACATAAAAAAAACAGATAAAGTAATGCTGTTTCTGTGTTTTATTTGCTGAAAAGAGCAGTCCCAGTAATGTTTACATCCAGGTCTTTGCAATTGGTTAAGTCATGTGATTTATATAAAATATATGAGTTAAGATACAAAGGTATGTACTGCTGAGTCTGATGTTTTATAGATCCCATTGGTGATCAAATGAGGAAATGGAAAACTGTACATGTCTCACATAGAATAAATTGTAATCCCATTAAACTACAGTACAGAAAAAACTGTAGATATTCGCTGTGCATGCTTTTGTGCTGCAAAACACATTGCAGTTTTTTAAAATGTATTTATGTATTGTATATGTATGTAATGTATTAATTCTTTGGCAGTCTGAACCAAATGTCACTTAGCTCCAAAGTACTGGAGTGAGCCACAGTGTATATCTATAAACTCTAACAAATCACATAAAAATCTGGGTAATCTTTATTTGGATGAAAAATAATCCAGATGAAGAGCCCCATGATTAGGGGAACACAATACATTTTTTTTTTTTATTGTGTTCATTGTTGACACAAACATGTCAGCTCCTCTAGTTTGCCTCTTAAGTTTTGGACTTGACATCTGACTTCTTGTTGCTCCTTACACTTTCTAATGTTCTTAAACCGCCTAAAAACCATCATCATTTCTGATGCTGTTTGTTGTCTTTTGAAGAAATACTTAATATGTTACAGGTGCTGCTTCAAGCACAGAAGGAGCTCCTCAACTACGGTGGCACTGGTATTAGTGTTCTTGGTGAGTAGAACTAACGGTTAGGGCTGAATGATTTTGAAAAAGTATGTAATTATTTTGACTGATATTGCAATTGCGATGTGATTCGCCATACCAGGGGGAATGATCTGTTTTACATCATTATTCTCATTTTCATTGAAAAACATATTGAAATGAATTATGCTGTGATTTTTGTGGTGATCTGTACCACACAAAGATGTTTTCTTAAGTCTCTAGAATATGATGTGCAGGCCAGAACATCCCTGCAGCATGACAATATTTTATTTGAAATGGTATTTTGACACACACATCACCTTGAACCTAGGCCATATTTCGATAAAATTTCATTTAATTGTTCAACCCTACTACAGATGGGTTGCATTTGAAGTCATTATGAGACAAAACTACTGCATGCCTCATGATTTGTATTGAAATAGCTGTTGTTTAATGCATCGCTATAGCCCATATAGTTGACATATATCGCATTTGTATGGATTAAAAACACTGTCCACATTCATGATAACTACAGAGATCTACACAAAGCAGATCAGTATTATCTGCATTCACAGCTGATCACTGACTCCTCACCCTCTGGTATCTGTTCTATAGATGTGTCCCAGTGTTAAATGACCCAAAATATAATCAAAATTAGCTAAGAGGCAATGACTGCGATTCAATTCAAATGTTTTTGATTCTGTTCAAACCAGAGATGAGTCACCGATCATCGGACTTCAGCAAAATCCTCAACAAAACAGAGAGTCTGCTGCGAGAGTTGCTGTAAGTGCTGTGTTTGTTGTTTCACATGGCTTCGACTGTATTCTCCTCCTTCTTCACTCTTTCCTTTTAAAGGAAGGTCGCACTACAGTATGACTGTGCACACTTTCAAACGAGGGTGTTAATGCATGTTCTCTTGCAGTTTCAGATTACAATATACAATATGTTGGAAATACACTTTTGGAAACACAAAGCACCATCATACCTAGAAATACCAATGAATTAAATGTGATTAATGGACAATTAGAATGATTGGAACGAAATAATTGCCACAATAATAATTACCTGTACGTTCTCTCCCATGTTTTTCACATCCTATTTAGTTTCTCCTCTGGCTGTCTTGTGTCCTAAAAGGCTTTGGGTTAGACTTTGCAAAGGTAGTGTTTGTTAGTTAAGTAGGTGTGTTTCTCCACGTAGTTATTAATGAAGAAAGATTCATCAGGAGGAGTTTAACCTTGCTTTACTGTGTAATCTTTCAAGAAGTTTTCACGATTTTACAAACCTGCTGGACATTTATGAATTCAAGTACTTTTAAAGTGCCAAAGGTTTACATTTGAAAAAGTCAAATTACCTAGACATATTTAAATATGCAAAATGGTTGCAAAGAAATCAGCAAGCTAAAAATGTTTTACATATTATGTTATATTCATGTGATAATCGGATGTTTGTAGTTCAGATTTTCTTTACGTTAATATTTTAAGGGGTTTGGTTATTAAAATAATTTCTTTCATGCTAAAATGTCTCTAATTTAAAAGAAACACAGCTTACTTTTTTCCTCCCAGAATTGGTCAAAATGGACTTCATTGAGTTTTATAAAATTCAGATACATACTCCATTCAGTCAATTTTGATCTGCTTTTTAAATGGCTTCAATAATCTTGGTTTTACTTTACTATTTGTATTAAATACACCAGAAGATTTAACTATAGAGAAACAATACAGAGCTACTTGTTTTGTTTGTAACATTTCATCGCAAACTGTATCTCTGTGCATGTGGGTCAGTCTAAGAATAGTTTCTGTGAGTCCACTGCTTCATCTGATGATGGTCTGTCTGCACCGTACACAGTGTTTAACACAGTAACCTTTTGTCTTCACAGAAACATCCCAGACAACTACAAGGTGATGTTTCTGCAAGGCGGCGGGTCTGGACAGTTCAGCGCTGTTCCTCTCAACCTGATTGGGCTGAAGGAAGATAGGTGCGCTGACTACCTGGTGACCGGCACATGGTCAGCAAAAGCAGCAAAAGAAGCAGAGAAATACGGCAAAGTCAACATTGTCCACCCGAAGCTGGATAGTTACACAAGTGAGACTTTGTGCATGGGGAAAAGTCTGAATTTTGTTTGTGTGAATACAGATGCAGAAAAATAATTTTCTTTTTCGCCTATTCTAACAAAAAGAAGAAGGAAAACAATCAGCAATAAGTAGTAATAACTGGTGAGAAGGTTTAGATCCAGAATGCAGTTTTTTTTTCTTGGATGACACAAAGAATTTTAATTTAATTGCCGTCACCACATCAAAAAACCGTTTGAGCTGAGCTGCTATGACTCGGTCATTGTCATTCAGGCTGCGTTAGGATGGGCCCTTTGCAAAATCTGGCTGTGTCCAGACTGTTATGTAATAAACAATAGAGCCAACTGCCAATGAAAGACTCTGGTATGTGAGTAGCCTTTTCCACATGGTTGTGTCTGATTTGAGTTATTTTAGTGGGCTTCTTGTGTAACCTAATGTTTGGAAGGAATTTTATTGTGTTTTTAGAATTACATTTAACTGTAAATGTAAAATTTATTTCATTGCACACATATAGATTTAAAGATAAATGATAGTAAATCCAAATCCAAATATGTTGCTCCTTCTGTCTGTCATCAGGCAGGCTGAAAATTGATTCAGTCTGTCATCGACAGACAGAGAAGTCTCTCATTAACAGCCTGGTCCCGCAGACAACTGGCACTTCTGGTTTGTGCCATGTTTGCTAAATGGTCACTCTGGCCTGTGGAAACCATACTCCAAGAAAATACACACACCCTGGCTTGAGAAAGGGGTGTGGGTGTATTTGCAGAAGCAATCAGTATGACTTACTGTATATAATACTGCCAAAGTAATGCAAGACTATGTGGACAGTTTTTATCAACATGGCTCTGGGGACGGCAGCATCGGTCCGCCACTTTAGTCCATATTGAAATATTTTAACTGTTGGGTGAATTCCCATGAAATCTTGCAAAGACATTCATGGTCCCCACAGGGTGAGTGTTGCGTAATAAGATCATGAACATGCGTTATACCTGCTAAACATTAGCATGTTAGCATTGTGAACATGTTAGTATTTTGACAGTTCAGTCTCACAGAGCTGCTAGTGTAGCTGCAGACTCTTTAACTATGTTGTGTTGTTGCTCTCTCCAGAAATTCCCAACCCCAGCAGCTGGACCCTGAACCCCTCAGCCTCCTACGTGTACTACTGCTGCAACGAGACGATCCACGGCGTGGAATACAACTTCACACCTGAAACAAACGGGGTGGTCCTTGTCAGTGACATGTCCTCCAACTTCCTGTCCCGACCTGTGGATGTGTCGAAGGTGAGGACAAGTGATTGTCCATAGTGATTGTATAAAAAGTGGTTATAGAGAGTCATGTTTTAATGTGTCCTCTTGCATTGTTTAGTTTGGGCTGATTTTCGCCGGGGCTCAGAAGAATGTGGGCTGTGCCGGGGTAACTGTGGTAATCGTGCGGGAGGACTTGTTAGGTCATGCCCTCAAAGAGTGTCCCATTGTCCTGGACTACAAGGTGCAGGCTGAAATGAACTCCCTCTACAACACACCACCAAGTTTCAGGTGCTGACTCACCTCTGTTTGTAACTTTAGAAACTCCCTGAAGTCACCTACAGATTGAGGATTATCAATATTTTAGTCAGCTAGGAAAAATACATTTGTAAAGTGTACATGTTAAAAAGACTGATTTCTATGAGTCTCCTGGAGTTGCTGGTTGCATTTTTAACAAGTTTTAATAGAATATTTCAGCATTCTGGGGAATGTGTTTGCTGTGAGTTTAGATGAAAAGATCAATATGACTCATATCTGTCTGTTACAGAGCTAAGCTACAGCCTGATTAGCTTAGCTTAGCATAAGGACAGGAAACCGGGAGAAACAGCTAGCCTAAAGCTCACCAATTAACACGTTATATGTTGTTTGTTTTAATCTGTACTAACGACCCATTGTGGCTTTCCGGGGGTTCATGTGCTGGACTATTTCCTGACTTGGACGATTTGCTTCCTGGAGTCTCCACTGACAGAGACGAAACCACAACTTGTTTTTACATCTAGTTTTGGATGAATGAAACAAACAAATTTATAACTGAGAATGAACCTTTTGGACCGAGCCAGACTAGTTGTTCCTCCTGTTTCCGGTCTTTTCTGTGTGCTAAGCTAAGCTAATCATCTAATCATCTAGCCTTATATGTAGCATAAAGACAAGAATGTTTTCTCAAGTAACTCTAATAAAGCGAATAAGCCTATTTCCCGAAATATAGACCTATTAAATATTTATATTAAATATAATAAATATATTAAATATTTTACAATCGTAACATATGAATGATAAGAAAGAGAAGGGAAAACTCAACAGTAGTAACAGTGATTCTTACCAGTTTGATTGTGTGTGTCCGTTCAGTATCTACATCATGGGTCTGGTTCTGGAGTGGATTAAGAACAATGGTGGCAGTGCTGCCATGGAAACTCTCAACAAGCGGAAGTCCTCCATGATTTATGACCTCATTGACACCTCTAACGGTTTCTATGTGTAAGTATCGCACAACTTTAGCAGCTGATGATAAAATAGGAAATTCAGTGAAGGTTAAAACATTCTGGAAACGTTAAGACACTGTGAGCCACCAGTGCCAGTCAAGGCCCACAGTCCATTTCACGCTTTACTGAATCTGCAAAGACAATATTTAAAACTCCACCTGTATCAGCATTATATACTGTATAGCTTCCCCTGCTGAATAGGATAATAGACTTTATTGTTATTGCACAGATTTATGTACAATGAAATTTGCTGTGCTGTGCCTGAATTAAAAAAAAAAGAAAACAAACAGAAATAAATACTTAAACATGCACTCGTGCACAGTCATCCCAACACAAGAGATAAGTTTAAAAAAAGAAAAGAAAACAAAGCACATTAAAAAGCCTTTTAAAAGCATGAAAGCAGTGCTGTCCCGTTCAGTGATGGCTCTTGGATAAAAGCTGTCCTTCAGTCTGGAGGTGTGAGCTTTGAGTGCTCTGTACCGCCTCCCGAAGGGTAACAGAGTACAGGCTTGATAGGGCACGGTCGCATCTCCCAGGATGCTGTTAGCTCTGCAAACGCAGCAGGTCCTGAAGATGTCCTCCAGAGAGGGCAGGGTGAGTCCAATGATTGTTTTTCTCCAGGTTTTATGACTCTCTGGAGACTGTTGTGGTCTGTACAAATCTCAAACCAGCCAATGGCTAGTGAATGCTCAAAGTCTACCAGCCACTCAATAGATTGACCATTGTTTTTTGGCTGGTGAGGGAAGTAAATCTACCATACATTTGCACATTTTACCAGCATTTGGCTGGTAGCTGGTGCCAATTGACTGTAGCCTTATAATCCTCCAGTGGCGATTTTTAAGATCTTCAGTTACTACTCTCGATATTTCATTGACTATATATAAGGCCCTGCTAGAAATCTACATGTCAGTATATTTAAGGTAAAAAAGAAATGGTCACAATAACACATAAAATGCACAGATTTAACCTACTTTATTTAAGTATGCTTTGCCTCATATACTGTCATTTTTACAGCATGTTTTAAAGACGAGCAAAACCAACTTAACTAAGGAATTTCAATTGTTTAAGACGACAAATTTGTGGTGCACAGAACTCGTGTAATGTAAGCAGTCTTGCTGTCTTACACACAGTCACTTTCAAACTCAAGAAAACTATGAAAAGACACAATTAGAAACAAAATACTAAAAGCTTGTGCCCTTATTGACCAAAATACAACCTTTTCATTTGTTTGGAAATCATTTGCACCTTGGGCTCTCTTTCATCAACTAAAGGGAAAATAATAATGCAGCCATTATAATCCGTAAGCATGAATAACAACAAATTACTGGAGTATAGACTACTAGACCAAACTGAAGGTTATTTACGTCAAAGCCTAGCCTTTGATAAACCCACCCATACTGTCCCCTTGAATTATTTAATTTATTTACATAATCTTTTTTTTTTTCTTTTGCCTTGGACACAATGCTTTTTACAATTGGAACAATTTCCGCAGACACTTTTTGTCTACAGTGACAGTAACAGTGAGGAAACTGTTTGAAGGTCCATTGTGTAAGTTTTAGTGGCATCTAGTGGTGAAGGTTGCGAATTGCAAACAACTCATCAGTCACTGCTCACTGCTCCCTTTGCAAGCACGTAGTAGAAACTACGGTGGCCGACACGCTCTGTCCGCTCTAAGGCTAAATAATACATGTGGTCCTCCATTTGTCAAAATCACAGACTGTATGTCAAAATTTACTTCTAACAAACCAGACGTTGTCTTGTTCTTCTTTGTCTTCTTCTTCGTACGTATTCAACGTAGTGATGAAACACACTCTGTAAAGCAGTTTTTCTGTTCGGGCTACTGTAGAAACGTGGCACCGCAAGATGGCAACTTCCATGTAAGGGGGCACACGTTGTTATGTAGATAGAAATGGCTCATTCTAAGTTAATAAAAACAGTTCATTATGTAAGGTCTTTATACACCACTGAAAACAGTTATGTATATTATATTGCATTTCTGTCAATAGATCCTCCTAAATATTATACACTTTAAGTTATAAAGCAAAGCATTTTAATTTGAACTACCTACGGCTGTGTCCAGGTGTCCTGTCGATGTGGCTTGTCGAAGCCGCATGAATGTGCCATTTCGTGTGGGGAAGAAAGAGGGAGATGACGCCTTGGAAAAGAAGTTTCTGGATGGCGCATCCAAACGTGGAATGATATCACTGAAAGGACACAGGTTAGAGTTTGTCAAACACATGCCTCCTTTTTAATTAATACCTTTTTTATTTGCATGTTCTAGAGAATACTGGGTCCTGTGTCTTTTTTCAAGCGACGTTATGAAAAGTGAGAACTACCTGTCCTTTGAAGACCTTTTTAAACATGATTTGTCTCTCCCTGCAGGTCAGTTGGGGGAATTCGTGCATCTTTGTACAATGCTGTCACAGTGGAGGACACTGAAGCCTTGGCTGCCTATATGAAAGAATTCCTGAAAGAGCACCAGTAATACAGGCCACGCTAAAATTCAGCTGATATCACATAGTGGCATTTGGTTACACCAGTACAGTTTCAAAACAGCTCTTGTTTACCTCTAGTTAAGATCTGTGTTGGATCTGGAAGGTGCACCTTTTAGACACTTTAGACGTTTCTGTGTTCCTAATAAGCTTTAACCACTGCTGTTACAAGTAATGTCTTAATTACATCTGTGTTTCATACACTTTACTCTTTTAATGAATTTATTGACTAACGGTGTTTTGGTGTACATACTGTACGTAATTCTTGTTACTTGTTCAAAATATATTTACATACCAGTAAATCTAACTTGACATTACTTACATTTTGTCATTTCTTGTCTTGAGTGTTGTTTTACAACGGACAACATTTTATGATTTAAACAGTTATCAACCAATATCAATCAGTTCTCACATCTTAGAACAGAGAAGCAGTGCTACACAAGAAAAATTCAGGAACCCCTCGAAAATTATAAGGTGCATCTCAAGGGGTTTAAATTTACCCTCACCAATCTGACTGGCTGTGGTGGTTACAACTTTAGAAAAACATGTTTTCTCTCTTATCTCTAGTATTTAGCCATGCAGACAGTATTGGTTTTGTCTGCCCAGGTTTTTAGATATCTCCTAGGATATTTAGAGATTTCTGACTCTACCCCCAATACAGTGGAGGTGAATGGAGTTTTGTTGTTTGTGGCGATCACGTTAATGATAATATAAATCAATGTGCTCAGCTTTGTTGTGGTGTGGGTGGCACAGGAGTGCTGTATTGCATAATGAAGCAGCCAAGAGGCGGTACTATATTCCAAACAATAATCAATAATGAATGTTGTAGATTGCAACATCAAACCAAATCTTGCTGAACATAATTATCACACAAAACCTCAGCAAGGGGAAAAAAACTATTGACTCTAGTTTACTGTGGTGGAGGCAGAGGGTCCAATTTACTTGTTAAACTAGTTGCAATGCTACAGAAACATCAAGGACTGTGGACAACAAACATCAGCTGTCTGTGAACACCACACTAAAACTGGTCACAGCATCGACTGGGAAGAGATCAAAGACTGTGTGCCAGAGGCTATTTTTCAAGAGAGACGGGGATTATGAACTCCATATATAACCAGCTGTTATCATCTTAGGTCACGTGATAACCAAACTGTTTCCAAGACACAATTGAGCAACTCCATCCACTGCGGAAGGCCACGAGATGTGCTTGAAAGCTTAGGAAACAAAAAGTACGATTTTTTTGGCAAGATGCTGTTTCCAAGGTCAAGAAGGAGCCTGCACAATATCTGTGTGGCAAGATGCTGGTGATAAGTGAGAAAATGCTTTGTAATGTGGGTGAACTGACCTTTTAACCAACAACAGTCATCTAGTACTAATTGTGTTAGCCAAAGATAAAATGTGACTTTCTTAAGAACTCTAATTTGCAGATTGAAACCATGTGGACTAAAAATACTTCTGGCCTTTAGCTAGAAGTAACCTTAGCAGTTGAAAATCTTTCTGGAATGAAGTCCACGTACATGCCTCTGACCATACCCATCAGTGATGCTGTGTGTGGTAGACAGTAACACAGGAGTATAATTTTACTCCTGTTACATCTCACTCCCACAAAAATACCCGTGTCCCAATCGGCCATGAGTAAAAACTACTCTTCTGTTGCGTCCCAATCCCAGAAGAATGATTTCTGTCCCATCACAATCCTGATAAACAAAATCACAAAATAGTGTTTACTGTAAAGCTTCAATTAGACGCCTGTCCCTTTCAATGGCCTAGTTTGGCTACACGTTTTGACAATCAATATGGGCATGCTACACATCATTCAATCAAATAGATTCTTCACAAGTCAATCGTTCAGTTCATTTTACGGACATAATTCAGATTTACAGGTATGGTAAACAAAAGCCTGATTTTTATGCAAGTAATATTTATACTGGTGGAAATAAACAATTTGATGGTAGCCTATTTTTGCTGAGCAAAAGTTTCGTGTGAAAGGAATTAAAGGCATCTCCCAAATAAAGGCAGGGAGAGTTCAGTGTTTGAATCAAATGAAAGCCTGGGCTATTAATTGAGGTTTTACAGTATTCATATTAGAAATCATATTTCTATATGAAAAACAGACCTATGATTCCCGTCCCATCCGCTCCCATTGACTATTTTCCCTGTCTTGTCCTGAGTCCTGAGTCCCAAGTCCCGTGATGATTAGTGAAATTGACTCCCATTCCACAGGAATGCCACTAGAGGCTGCAAAAATGTCAGCCTCTAGTGTGTGGTGCAACAGAAGGCAGAGAACATTTGCCTTTTAGTCTGATGTTACTCTTAAATAATAATATGCAGCTCAACTACTTTACAAGCACAGTCAGTCTCTTCCCTGTGAGATTAAGGAATCACCTCCTACAACTTTACTTCCGGCTGACAGCAAAAACATCCCAGTATGTAGGAGTGAACAGGTCTACATAACATCAGCAGGGCGGCAGGATGGCTTCATGGTGAGAGAGACTGCCCTCCATCTGGATGTCCAGAGGCCGGTTCCCTTCTGCATTCACCCCACTGAGGCTGTTCTTCAGCAAGACTCCGTACCAACTCCAGGAGCACCGAGTGTATCTGACCCTGACCTTTGAACTCCCTGGAGGAGATGCAAAAGAGAAGAGAGGCAGGAGGCGGCCAAATGAGAATTTCATTACTGGGGTCGATAACGTAACGTATCCTTAAAGGCTACTAACAAGACAAAATTGTTATGTAGGTTTGGTTCAAAATGACTGAGATAATTTTTGATGTTAACATGTGTATTGTGAGGGAATAGTATGATAAGCTGTGGTGAGTGTGTATTTGCTTTGTTTTTTGTGACTTTTTCCGACTATGCATGCGAGTGTCATGACCAAACCTGCCTACAGGTCCTCTCCAGGTCCTCACTGTCTGCAAGAGTAGGAGTTGTGTGTTACATAAATTAAAGAGGTCTCAAAGAAGATGGGATGGCAGGGTCCAGCAACCAGACTGTTTGTATAGGTGTGTATATCATACAGTCTATGGTGTATTCAAAATGTGTGCAAATAGTTGTCTGTTGTAACTTGCTTGATATAGCAGGCATTTATCTGAAGAATAATCATAATGATAAAATTCAATTTATTTATATAGCACCAAATCATAACAAAAGTTATCTCAGGAGAGCAGGTATAGACCATACTTTAAATATGTATAACAATAAATAAAGAAATATATATAAAACATTTAAAAATATTTTTATTTATAGAGCACTTTCCAAAACACAGGTTCACCCTAGGCAGAAATTAAAACAAGAATCAACAATTAGAAAATCAAATATAAGTGCAGAACCAATGAACAAAAAAGACAACATGGACCACAGTAAAATAAATAAATTGAGGTAAAATCAAGTTAAAAGAAAAAAAGCTCAATTAAAATCAAGATGAGATATTAAATAAAAGTATGTTTTAAAAGCTTGAACAAAAATAAAACTAGCTGATAGTTTTGATGCAAATGACCTCTAGGTGGAAGTGTTCATCTAGAAACGCATGTCTGCAAAGTGCAGGTGATCAAATGGGGGTCTGACTCCTTCCATAGTGATTCAATGAGGCTTTATCGGCATGATATTTTGATCAAATCATGTTGCCAAAACATATGCAATAAATAGATTGATATGGCAAGTACTATAGATAAATAATAATTATAATAATGTCCAATACACAAAAAATCTAAGCAAAACATGTGATTGAAACAACTAATTACTGATAATTTATTCACTTCTGAAAAAGATAGATTGCATTCTTGCTTTCTCACACACACACACACACGCACCCGCATGCACACACACATATACATCCTTGTACTTCTATAGTACAATGAGGACCCTCATTTACATAATATGTTCCCTGGACCCTTACCCTAACCTTAACCATCACAACTAAAATGCCGACCCTAACCTCAGCCTAATTCCACCCTAACCCTTAAAACCAAATCTTAAACTTTGAACAGCACTCTGTGAGGATGTTGTGAGGATTGGCCAAAATATCCTAATTTTCAAAAAATGTCCTCAATCTGTAGGTTAAAATCCTGTTCTGGTCGTCATAATGCAGTAAGTACACGTAAACGCACACACAAATTTGTGTGGTTTCTTCAGATAAGGTCAACTCATCACCACAGACGAAGGGTCCTCAACTAAAGAACAAAATCTGTATCTAAAAACACTGCTTCATAATGTTTCAGCAGAAAAAACAGTCTCCAGCTCAGCAGCGTTACATTTCACTTCTGATCAATCCATAGCATTTATTCCACTGAAAATATATCCCCATTAGACATAGAAAAGCATGTTGTTCACAGTTATCGTTGTAAGGCACGTGATATGATTCAGGAGCTGGACAGTTTAGGTGATTAACAGGAATATCTCCTCTCCGGATGACTGTCATCCTGATGTAGACTTGTGTAAAAAGGCAATTAGTGTGGAGTGGGCATGATGTTAATAGAGCATGGCATGTTTTGACAGTGCCTTTATCTTCCATGCTTTACAACTTTATCAGTGCATGAATGGCTGTATGGGTGGAATAAGTTGGAATTTAACTTTTACCCTGGCAGCCTCTCAACATGTTTGCAGGCCTAGCATCTGTATTATACCTTAAGTGATATTTCTCATTAAGTTCTTTTTTCACCACATAAATTTAATATACCTTTTCTACTTCTACTATCTAGGTGGTGGCCGATCAGGAAGTGTAACCTCTGAAACTACTAGTGTGAGTAGGAGGTCACCACAGGAAGAAGCAACTAGCTACTTTTCTTACTTTCATTTTGAAATGTAATGAAACACAAGGTAAAGTTGATCCAGGAGTTATTATTTTATATAACATCCCGGATGATTCTTTCCAAAAAGTAATTTTGGCTGTTAGCAAATATCAATACCAAGAGCAAGGGAGAAAGTCTGAATGCTGGTGTTGACTGTGGATCCCCAGGGCTGGAGATGTTGGACCTGCTGCAAAGGTTTGTATGCTGAAAGATAAAAATGTACTGCCAGAGTGAGGTATTGCTTTAAGCCAGATGAGTTTTATGTTAGCACGATACATTCATACCTCTCTTATACAAGTCTTTCAGTGACAGCTTGTCTTAGTTCATGGTCATCTTCAATAATGGCCTTGAAAACCTTAAGGCTCCCATCAGCTGCAGGAACTTTGACATCATGCTCATTTTTATCATCAATAAACCTTTCTTTGCCACCTCATATTAGAGTCACAGGGGCATAAGAACACATCTGAGCTCCTTTACTTCAATCTTACCTTTTAGCTTGATTTTGGTGGCTAATCTTCAGTGTACCAAGACA